CCGACGGACTGTCCGTTCCGTTCGTTCGTTCGTTCGAACATTCGTTCGCGTCGTCGTTCGTTTGACGCGGAGGCCATTCCTGTGTACACATTAGCAGAAGAAGAGGTCATGCGCCGCGCTCGCTTTTGGCACAACATCGTCGGACTACTCCTCGGGCTTTGCTGGGCTTCAAAGGCTGCCGCCACGTCACATTCCGGAATTTCACTTTTCTCATTCACCACTGTACGTACAAGGCGTTGTTAGAATCTCATGTCAGGAACGATTCGTTGGTTTTTTTTCATTTCACTGTTTTGTTTTGTGCCGAATAAACGGAATCGCCGAAACTTGCGATCGGTCATCGGTAACTGTTGGTGAGTCCGGGCGACGGAATCGTGCGTGACTCATGCTGAGACTACTCTACATTCTGTCAATTCCGCAACGTCCAGAGCTTTTGTACGGACTAGCGTCTGTATTCTCACTTTCGGGATGAGGTTGCACGTGCAGTTTCGAGGTTAATACTCCTACGCCAACGGCCAAGTGTCTCCTCGAAGGTGCTATCGGCCGTTGCGCTTTTCGACTGATTTTCACCGTTTGAGACCAACACCATCATCGCGTGTTCGGCGTGCCCAGACTCGCCTCACTGCACTTCGATGATGCCCACACCACACAAAGAGACGTCAGTCAGTTTCGACGACCGCTTATGCTTTAGAGTCGCGGAGGCAGCAGCGTTGGCGTCAGACCCTGTGTCCCACATTCCCTATGCTGCGTCACCGTCAATGCCTCGATGGAAGATGACTCGAATTTGGAGCAGAGTCCATTGAGACATTTGCACCAATGTTTTCTTCACCGCCCCTGGGGTCTTCGACCAGTCGACTGAGCAAGTCGCCTTAAAAACACATTCTGAGATGAACAGGCAAAGGAAAACAATCTTAATTATGGCATTCCGTTCATTCTCGAAGCTGTCTCTCCTGTGAGACGTAATGATACGGCAGTTTTATATTTATTTAGTTATTTTGCAACATTTTACAGTTTCGCATACAAAACTTAGTTTCATTTGTTTTTTTTAATACCGTCTACCCACACTGCTGATTGGACCAAGTACTATATGGGTCAAGATATGTGCATCAGACAACATGGCCACAAGTCTTCTTCCCGTGGCAAAACCACTTCAGAAAGTCATTCGAGTACGTGTTACCTCTTTCTTTTTGGATGCGCTGTACAACAGCAGTAATGAATCAGGGTAAATAGTACATCTTTAAGAGGAAGGATCAATAGGTATGAGACATTGGTTTTAAATATTACATTTTCTACCTAATTCTTTGAAATGAATTGATATTTGTTCGAGTGCAATTCAGGCTGAGACGTACAATGATTTTTCATTTCGTGGTCGTAAACTAATTGTCATATAGTTGTCCTTCTCATACTCCCTCCCGTTTGAATGACGAATCGGATTCCTTTAGGAGGGTTATGGAAGGGAATCCTTATTTTTCTATATAACGGTGGATTTACTTTTCAAGCCAGGAACAGGCTTAATTTAGTTGCATCTTGTCTTTATTTCGAAAAAGTCTGGTTATTTACGATTCCATTTTGTCACCCTCTCGAATTCAGACCACGAACCACGTACCGGAGGGTTCATCATCCAAACGGGGAGCAAGAACACCAAGATTAACCCGTCTCCATCAGCTAGTTTCAAACCAGTACTTCGTTGCGTTGGCCATTTCCGAAAGACTCGCCATTTACTTTAATAAGCACGCACCGTCAAACTAGCTAATTAGCCGTTATGCTATATCGCTCGTGACGAGCGCAAAGAGTCTGCAGCGGACAAAATGGTACAAGATGCGTCTGGTACTCAAAAAGCACGTAGCCGTTGCCTGCTTGAATGGACTCACTAGGCGACTATGGACAAGAGGCGGTTCGATACACTGTGAAATCTGGTCTTGCACGAGTCAGTCATTGAAGGAGTTATTTACCTATTTATCTACTAATAAGCCATAACATATGCAGTTGAATGAATTCTCTGCTGGAGGGAAGTGTGAGTTAGTAAGAAAGCTTTACAGTACATCACATTTGGACTGTCGATTTTGGTGTGTAAAGCCGAAAGATCTGATTTCGCACGACAGCATCAATTGCATAAAAACAGGACGTTTCGAGTCATGGCATCACACGTCTTGCTTGTGCCAACCATCGACGTCGTTACGCTGCTGGCACAGCGTGTTGTGTAAATTAAAGCAGCTATTTCTGCTGTTCAAGTTTTGGACAACTGTTTGTCAAACCTTGTTTAGCCTCACATATCGATAATAGCGTGACGCAGCATCAGCAGTTCGTTCTCAGAGTCTTATGTTCCTTTCGGTTTTTGAGGGCTGCAACTTCAAGACGTCTCGTATGGTCTCGGTGTCTTCTGCTGATCGGCCAAATTCAACAGTATTTCACAGAGTCAAGAGTTAAATATTAAGTTAGCGATTTTACTACGTATAAAATCTGATATCGTTAAACCGATTTAAGGTATATAGAAACAACAACAAAACAGAATGACAACAACGCAACATAAGCAAAAACTCATAATTTCAGACCGTATATCAGACTGTCTACTAGTGAGTGACAAACAAAGTATGATGTGCAGATAAGAAACTGTCTCGAGAACTCCAGCGGGTTAAGAGAGAAACTGCCATGTCAGATTTTTCAGATTTCTGACAGTCGAGCTGTTTCGCATGCAATCGATCCAATTGTCCGGTGCCGTGTGACTTTGCGAAGAGACCGGTTTTATGCGTTTCTGCTCCTTCGTCCTGATTACATGTCCAAACCGTCGTAGCTATGACTATATCATCTAAAATTTAAAAAAAAAAGCGGATTACAAAGGAGGATATCTTAGACTGTGCCAATCGGTCTTTATTAAACCGATGATCCTCAGGAAAACTTCATTTTTGCCCATTTTTTCCGGAATTACACTGTTTCGACTTATATGATTATAGAAGAAGGCAAATGTACAGACAGATTTGAAACACATCTCTTACTTCTGCTAAGGTCTTTCTTCAACACTGCAGACCGGTTTGGCTCCTGCGTTACTTTGCCAATTCGTGTTTTTATTGTCCGTTCTTCGTGCCGTCACTTGCAAATGCTACCTGGCATTCTGAAACTGAAATTTCTTCACTAGCTTGAGTTCTACTCCGTTAGGACAGATCGGATGGTTTTTCTAGAGAGTATGAAAAGCTCAGTTTTGTCTGCGGCAAAGACTGCATCATGTGTATGTGCAGATCAGCAAACGAGGAAGCAAACGTCCCATCTGTGAGGTTGTTCTTGTCTAAGATTTCCTCTAATTCAATTCTTGAAAATTATGAAAAGGATAATGAACGCATATCCTTGTTGTCGACCAACCTCGAGCATAGAACACAGTCTTTTCGATATTAATACATACATAGACCTCTTAACAGCACTATGAATATTTTATAGACCGGAATGACTGTGCAGTCGCTTCATGTTCTTGCACTACTCGCTGTACCTTCGATCGGGACACCATGGTAACTGTCTTAAACGTCCAATCAGAGTCAAGCCAGCTATAGGCACGGACCATTCTTACAATTAAAGCATTTTTCGCTGTCCTAAAGAAGAGTACAGATCTGATCCTCTGTAATATGCTCAGGACAATAGCCATCCTGAACTTTCTGCTTTGCCTATGTTGGTATTTCCTTTAAAGGCTGTAATTTACCAGGAAGGCAGAGCAAGTAAAGAAAGCATGGTTAGCTCTTACCATAGCAGCAGCATGCTCAAAAATTGCATTCGTTTCTCCGAGACGACTGCGCATTGCAGCACGTTCGGTGTTATTGCCGAATTCCATACAATTACTACGAGGAAATTCTATCTTACATGTCATAGGACTTGAATTGGTATGGTATTTTTTGAATATGAAATAAAGAATCCATGATATGTTAAACCATGGCAGATTTTACTTCGAATTTTAGTCGAAATACGGGTCACCGAAAATACCATACAATTTCAAGGCCTTTGGCACGTTAGATCAGACTTCGTCTTCCCCACCCACCTTTCGCTTTTCAGTAGTTCAGCCACTTGCATTATGACAGTACTGCTCATACCAAAAATGCACTTCGTGACTGCCTCTAGGATAGGTAGATAATGCATCTAGATGATATTTCAAACATATTCCCTATCCTGATATTTTCTTCTTGGGACAGAAGGTTCCATCCGGGCTTTTCAGGTCTCACGCACTAGCTAATCTTCTCTCATGGTCTATTAACATTGGAACTCAAATTGGGAGCAGCGAATTCTACACTGGAAGCAGTTGTTCTAACGAAGGACCAGGAAATGCCTTTTGGACTGCGTACAATAACGTTGACTTTGATATATAATGAGTATTAAATGGCAGGACCGCGCGACGACGAACGACTGTATCCTATTCTGGGCACAGACGTGCTTTGCAGATGAGGAAACTGATGACGATGATGAGGAAATTGGCTCTGCTAAAACTGGTTCAGCATAAAAACTATTTACTCTTGCCTATGAGCTTCAGTGTTGGAGCCGAAACACGGCACAGTCGACGGGGAGGCCATCGTGCAACCTGGGGGGAACATCGTATAGGCAATCTGCTTTCGGAAAACAATCGTTCCTTGCACGATGCAGTAACGAATGCCTTGTGGCAAAGGTGTTGAGAAGCTACGAATACAGCAGAGCATACAGCAATTAAGTTCTGCTTATGCAAACGACTCAAGGTGTTGATCAAGTAAACACACTGTTAAAATGATTTCCTCACCTTCGAATAAAATTGAGTTTTTCTCTGAACAATCCTTTGTCTATAGTATCGATGCAGCACAGCAAATTGCACAAGTACAATAGGGAAAATTTTTAATGGAGTAAATTTTAAGTAGTACTTCAATTGTCTGATTTTTTGAAGCAGAGCCTTTACTCAGCCTAGCCTATGCAACGAAACGCGTCGGCAATAAGCTGTTGTTTCATCTGCTATATTTGGCGCCCTGAGCCATGAATCGCTCAGAATAAGTTTTAATACGAAGTTTTAGTATAAACCTTCCCATCGTTTCTTCTATCATAAACTTTCAGGTCATAGCCTGACCGTGAGGGGCATTGCCTAATGTTTTTAAATGCCTCTCGAGATTATTACAGTATACGTGTGCATATCATTAATCCTAGGTTATTTTCATGACGCGAGTATTGTTGTATTACTGGCATCTGTTGAAGTTTCTAGTACTCCGACCTTTTAAACATCGTCGGAATTTCGTCGTTGATCCGACATCAGATGCTTTCTACAAGAAGTGAGAAGTGCAGTTGTTTGTCCAGTATTGAGGTGAAGAGGCGACACAACCTTTGGTAATCCGGTTTTGCATTCGGCCAGTCAGTCGAGCATCGAACTGGGACCGCAAGTATCTGATTCTTTATGCTTTGTA